AAAAGCTTTATTCTCTTGTTTGTGAAACAGAAGAGGATTTCTAGCAGTAATTTTTTAAAGCAATTATTGACAGCTATTGAGCCCTAGTTTTAGATCTCACATATTCCCTGCTCTTATACAATAGCCGTCAAAAGATTGAAACAGCGGTGAGTAAAATACACATCTGATTATCTATGAAACTAGCTGTTGTAGTGCATTGTCAGCGTGGTCAACTCGTGAATGGAACACTAATTGTAATGTTGAAGCAAAAACTATTTTCTAATGCTTCAGCAGCTTTTGACTATCATCACAGTGAACAGTGCATACATTTGAATATAGAATAACAAATTAGATTATCACTCTTTGTGTTATTCATTCTTAATGTTCCGTTACTCGGCACTGTCACATAGAAAATTTCAGGAATTTTACAGGATTCTCAAGACCTCTCATTATAAGTGCTGAAATTTAACCGACTTCTTCGCTATGAATTGAAGCTAGGTCTCCACCCTCTTCTCTGCAGTGTTGCAACGCATCATAAAAATTTTTCCTACAGTTTAGACACGAAAAGTAGTAGCACTTGTCTTGAAAATTTTGATAACCGTAATTACATAGTCCTTCTTCGAGCGCTTCGCCTGAAAAAAAATTATCGTATTTGAAAAATTTTAGTTATTTAAGTTTTTTTCTTTTTTTTTTCACTTTACTGTTATCTTTAAATTTAGAATTATAAAACTGAATTCATACCACTTGTTCTATTCGAATAGACTTCGGTAAATAGCAGCAAGAGAGAAAAGCATAAAAACGCTCTTACTTCAAATCCAAGTTGAAAACGAAAAAATGTTCTTATCATGGCTCTAAATCAGTACCAATATGTTAGTTTGATCATACCTAATAAGTGACTCAAAAGCTGTACAAATATTGAAGAATTAAAAATTCAGGTATTTAAGTGGCAAAAGCATCTGTTTTTTGTACATCAAAAGAAAACAACGTTAACAGCGTGAACAAACTTGCAAAAAAAGGAACAAAAATGATAAGATATTTGAGCGAATAATTGGAACGACAAATTATTTAATTTTTTTTTTTTTTTTTTT